GGCGCCAGCTGTGCGTTCTCCTGCGAGCCGGGCTTCGTGCTGAAGGGACGGGCGAGGCTCCAGTGCGGCCCCACAGGGCAGTGGGACAGCAGGGAGCCCACTTGTAAAGGTACAGTTTTTGTTTTTGTTTTCTTTTAAGACTGAAAAAAAGATTGAAACCCTAATCGGTTTGGCTCAGTGGATGCAGCATTGGCCTGCAGACCAAAGGGTCCCGGGTTTGATTCCGGTCAAGGGCATGTACCTCAGTTGCAGGCTCCTCCCCGGCCTGGGCCCTGGTCAGGGCTCGTGCAGGAGGCAACCAAGTGATGTGTTTCTCTCCCATCGATGTTTCTCTCTGTCTTCCCCTCTCTCTTCCCCTCTCTCTAAAATCAGTGGGAAAATATCCTCGGGTGAGGATTAACCAAAAGGAAAATTTAAAAGATGAATTTATATATAGAAGAGCCAGGGATTTGGGTACTTGGAGAAACCTGTGGCTGCCTGAGACAAGCGAACTTCTCATGTGCTTGCTCCCCTTCCAGCTGTGAGATGTGACCCTGTGCCCCGGCCCCGGAGCGGCTGGGTGCAGTGCCGCCATGCCCCTGCCGGGGAGCTCACCCCCAGCTCCTCCTGCGCCTTTGGCTGCGAGAACGGCTTCCAACTGCGCGGGGCAGCTCGCCTTGAGTGCACGGCTCGGGGACAGTGGACACAGGAGGCCCCCTCTTGCCAACGTCAGACTGCAGTCAGACTCGAAGGAGTAGATGTGGGTCAGTCCTCACACGTTGCCCCCAGGGACTTGAGCCTCATTTAAAGTAGTGCCTTGCTCTAGCCAGTTTGGCTCAGTGGATAGAGCATCGGGTTGCGAGCTCAATCCACAGTAGGGGGCTTGCAGGAGGCAGCCGACTAATGATTCACTCTCATCATTGATGTTTCTATCTCTCTTTCCCTCTCCTTCCCTCTCCAAAATCAATCCTATCTAAGAAAGAGGGAATATGCTAATTGACCATCACACCCTCAAGATGGCAGTGCCCAGTCCCCTCAGCCCTGCCTCATCCAGCCTCAGTCCCTCAGCCCCTTCAGCCCCGCAGGGGAAGGCAGTTGGGGAAGATCATGCCAGCAGGGGAGCAGTTAGGGGGCAATCAGGCAGGCAGGCAGAGTGGTTAGGAGCCAGCAGCCCTGGATTGTGAGAGGGATGTGGACATGCCCAACCAGCAGTTGGACATCCCCCCAGGGGTCCCAGATTGGAGAGGGTGCAGGCTGGGCTGAGGGACACCCTGTCCCTGTGCACTGGGGTCTTTAGTAAAATATAAATTTTAAAAAAATGACACTGTGTCCATAAGTCGTGCTTGTGCGCTGCCTGTCCAGCCAAGGTTAGGAGCTTCCAGGGGATTTTTCTTAACCTCTGCCCCGTCCTTCGCCTGCAGTGGTGCAATGCTCACACCCGGAAGTGCCCAGCAAGGTGGCTGTGAGCTGCGATGGGGATCTTGTGTTTGGAGCTGAGTGCACCTTCACGTGCCCCGAGGGATGGACGCTCAATGGCTCGGCGGCTCTGGTGTGCGGTGCTGCAGGCCACTGGTCCGGGATGCTGCCCACCTGCGAAGGTGAGGCA